AAGTCCAAGGCTGGATGATGTAAAATGTGATCTGGTGCAGAAACCCAGAGGATTGAGCCTAACCCCAATCCAAAAGGAGTCTGAAATCTGTCCCTGAAGCACTGGGAGCTGAGAACCTTTCACAGCCCCACAGCTCACGCCGTGGCTGGAGCAGCAGCAGGGTCCCACACGCTGCTGGCATCTGCTAACCCAAAGGGCTCAAACTCGGTCACTCCTCGGACAGATGACATCTTAAAGTGGAACTGGTGACCATATTCCGAGAAGTTTTCAGCATGAATTTAAGTGTTTATCTCATTCAGCCACAATCTGGAAAGCGAGGGGGGTTTGGATCCTCCCCTGTGCCTGCTGCAATCCCCAGCAGCCGGCCCTTTTTTTTACCCCTCCCCCATCTGACTCAGGAGTGTCACCCCAACGTGTTCACATTGCTTTTATTTAGGTCTTCTGCCAACAGTTACAGGGTAACAGACACTTGGGACTGCAGAGTCAAAGTTGCAAGCAAAAATCAGGACCAAGGCAAAAAAAAAGTGAAAGAATCCACAAAGGCAATCGAATGGGATCCAGTATAAATACAACGTCCTGGAGCTCTTTAATCATACCGATCCTTTAATAAAGAGGTGGTTATGATCTTACAGCATTTTCTTTTGGCCTAATCCAAGGATTTTGTAACTCTTTACCAGTCTTAATTCCACGCATACAAAAAAAAAAAAAAAAAAAAAATTGATATTCACCCTTTAAAATATAAGCCATATTTTCTTAATAAAATAAGTTTTGTGCTGCTGCTTGTTTAGTAAGTACTGTACATCGACTGTTCACGTCTATTTAACAAGTGGACCATACAGAGTTCAAGCTAAAGCAAAAAAAAAAAACCAAAACAAAAAAAACAAACCAAAAAACCCACAAGAAAAACAACAACCCAAAGAGGGTGTCCTGTAAACACCCTACGTACAGTTCAACACTTGCTCGTATAAAGGAGGTACGAAAGGGGCTAGAAATCAAACACAAAAGCACTGGAGTCCCGTAAATTTTCTTTCACAACTATTGAAGTGCAAATCACTCAGGCAAGATATGAATTTCTCCTGTTTATTGCTGTCCTGCTGTCTGGCTTCCCTTCCTGAAACAATCCCATTCTTTTACTTCACGCCCATTTTCCAAGAAGAAAACCTCCCGCGAGGCAACGCTGACCTTGGGCTTCGTGACACTAAGAGATCGGGATCCCAGGACACCCCGGCCGCCCCCGGGAAGGGGCTGCTCAGCCCCCCACCCCCAGCACGCTCAGGATGGGGAGAGGGGAAACAGAGGGCATCGAAGCGGCTCCCTCCTCTTCCCCAGCACGGCAGCGCCCGGCGAGGCTCCCAGCTGCAGGAGGAACCACGTGCGTGGGGTGAAGGCAGAGACTCGGGAGCCATTGGGGGTGTCCAAGGGGGGGTTTGTGGCTAACTACAGATCCTGATATGTCTCGGGGTTACACCTATCTGCTACGGGTAGCAAAATGCACAGCACCTCAACATGCACTTACTCGCCTGCGTCGTGGACAAGGCAAGGGAGGAAAGGCCGAGTGCCGGAGCCGCGTGGAAGGTACAGTGCATAGTCCGTGGTACAAAACATGCGGGGAACTCCAACCCCCTTAGAGTTCTTCAAAATGGAAACAGGGTTTCAAGGGCACAGCAGCTACCGAGTTTGGCTTTTTTATTTATTCAAAACCATGAAAACCCAACGCAGAGGGTGAAACGAGGGCAGAACACGATCTGCGAGTCAACAGCTGAGAGTTTCTGAAGCTGTGAAGCTTTTGTGTAGTTAAAATTGCTGTTAAAAGTAGGTGCTACATCAGCAAGTCTTCATTCATAGTTTTCTATGAACAGCCACCTTACAAATGAGTGCAAATCTTAAAGGTCCATTTTACATTTCAAGTCTCAAGGTTAAAAAAAATTGTTACAGAGCAACAAGCTGTTTCTGTAAATGCCCACACTATCTCTTTTCAAATGGTTAAAAATGGCACGTGCTATGCCACAGCTACTAAAAGACATTTCAGAATTCTAGACCCAACTAAAACACTAAAATAAAAACCAGAAACCAAAATACTTTGCCCCTTGCTGCAGAAGAGCAGCCGGGTGCTTTCCGTTGTAATGCTGGTGAACAAACTGATTTGCAGAGAGAACCTTGACCTTAACCCCGACTTTATTCTTTCCGAGGGGCTTTCTAACACAAGGTGAGCGGGCGCAGCCCCTCCGAGATCGTTTTGCTCTCAATGAACACAAGCCAGAGTTCAGAGGATGAGATGGAGAGGTGCTGGATTTGTGTCACTATGCAGGCACTTGTGTACAGGAATGTCAGCTGCTCAGGCGGACACTTCGTGTGGGCGCGTTCCCTGCTCGCTAACAGCCTTCCCACGAGTCCCCACCCTACTGCCCACCGAGAGTCCCTGGCCTGCCCCCCGGCACCTTGCAGATATACAGCAGTGGAGGTTGACACAAGGTGCAAAGGAGAGCACGGACCAAACACTGCAGTCTGGAGGAACAACAGGACTGTGCTAAACGCAGGCTCCTCGCGACACGGGACACCAGAGGGCTCAGCACTTAGTTTGCATAGCATAGGGATGTCTTCAGCTTCCACACACACGTCGCCCAAAAAGAGAACGGGATGAGTGAATTCCCAGCACTAGGACAGAACGAGGGGCCAACACTGGTTTTGGGGGCCAACGTGGTTTTCATGAAGGCAAGTTTAAACATGGGAGAGTACAGAACGAAGAGGTGGAAGGTGAGATCCTGCCCACGCGGGGTGCCGGGGGCCGCGCCCCGGGAACGTGCACACTTCTGGCAGGAAAGTGAGAACAGAGCTCTTCCATTTCAGAGCCTGGGAGGAGCGGGCGCCTCACGTGTGCTCTTGAAGGAAGCGCTGTGCACACTTGCACATAAAAAAAACCCAGATAATCTGCCCACAGGATACTGGTAATGAGTTGCTACCACTGCTCCGCTGTGCAGCACGGTCATTCTGTGCAGCAAAATGAGTCTGAAAAGCAGTCGCTGTGTTACTGGTGGGAAAAAGGCTTTTTTCCTGTTACAAACACAGATCAGTTGGAGTTTCCCCCATGACAATACCAAGGATTTCATCGTTCCAACTAAGGAAAAAATCTGGTGTGCTTTCAGAAATTAAAAAAAAACCAAAACAACAAAACCCTGTGCATGAGATCAGTGATACCATGACACGGAGAGCAGCAAAACCTAGCAGCAGAGAGGTGGCAGTTTGGAGGTGCTGGCGTTGGGGTGCACGGTGCTTCGGGGAGCAGCCGGCCCAGGCAGACGTGTGCCAAAGGGAGGTGGGTGCTGAGGGGCACCCGGGGCGCTCGGGCGGCGCCGGCCCACACTGCTCCGGCGGGAAACCCGGGAGGCTCCGGGGGGAGCGCGCAGCCCCGGGAAGCGTGGGGATGTAAACTCTGAGAATGTTCATGACTTGTGTGTTTTGGCAACAGACTCGGTATCGTATAAAAATAACGTTTAGTAAAAAAATCCCGGTGTCCATCGTAAAAATTCAGGAGAGGAAAACAAAAAGAAAAAAGGAAAAAAAAAAAAAGGAAAAAAATCAATCGCTATTTCTGTCCTCCTGGGATGAAGATGCCCCCATTTGTCAGAAACAGTTTTAAATAACAAGTAGTACATTGGAAACAAAAATGGGTCAGCAGCCATTAAACGTGTCCTGTATGAAAGTGCACATCTTTCAATGGAGTTTAACCACCATGAGGTCACGATCTAACACAAACTGCAACTTAGGACCAGAGAAATTAACTCCTTCCGATGGAAATATGGACCACCATCAAGACAAGATCACTGTGTTCCTTACGAGATTAAAAACATTGAAATTTTGCAGCATCATAGTAAGGCACTCACCCATGGAAAAGTCTGTGACTGTTGCTTCAAATGGCAGCAGCTAACTAACTAGCTTTTAACACAAGGAAGACAGTTTTCAGTTCTGAGCTAAGTGCTAGGGTGCCTTACATTGTACGGGGGGAATTACTCGGGGGCGGGGAACTGTTAGTGTTAGAATTCTCCTATAAACTAGTTGTTTTTCCCCTTAACCCATTAAAGCATCTCATATTCTAAAATATTAGTTTTATAAATCTAGTCTTCTGTTTTAAGGCTCTAAAAATCCCCTCCCCCCAACCCCCACAAAAAATACCTACCAGCGCCTGGTGGGCAACGGAGGACCAAAGCCGCCAGTTCACAGTCAGGAGTCTATAGTATTGCATCTTAAAAATCAAAACCTGCTTCCGCCTCCTGGGAGTTTTATCCCCTCCTTGAATGCCTTCACGTGTTTGGTCAGGTCAAAATTTTGCAAGCCAGAAAAAAAAATTAAAAAAATAATCATCGTTCTCTTCCAATCCTACAGAGGTGTCGGATCTTTCTGTCCCGTGGTGCTGGTCTCCTGCCTCGAGTCGACGCTGCCTGCCCTGCAGTGATTTCTCATTGGAAAAAAAGAAAACCAAGGTGTCCCAATGCTTCCTTTTTTGTATGGCTCCTACAAATCTGAAAGCTTTCTTGAGTGAGGTAACAAAAGTTAGGCTTTCAAGCAAAGTACATGGTACGTAAAGTGTCCTGATGAACCTGCACAGCCTTCGCCAAGGCCTGGGGGTCTCTGCCGTTGCTCTGTCCAGATATATGGCTGCCCTCGCCACTGAAAAATCAAGGAAATCACCGTGTAATTATGTTGTATTACCCACCCAGCAACACCAAGAAACCCCCTCGGAGATCAGGGTGTGCGAGCGCTGAGCACAGGGAGCACCTCACCACACGTGCCTGTGCCTGGCACTGCAGCGATTCCAGCTCCCTGGGTGGCTGTAATGCTCAGACACCCCAGGGATGCCCCTGCTCAGACACCCCAGCTCAGGATGGGATTTAACCCTCCCTCACTCCCTGTCCCCCTTGGGCTGGGACCTAAGAGGCTGCAGCTCTGTGCAGGTCTTCCCCCAGGACAGGTCTGCTGCAGGGCTGCTCTGACCCAGGCACTCTCAGACACCCAGGCCAGGTGCTCAGGCACCCTGGGGTGTGCTGGGAAGTGTGGGACCTGGCATGGCACACGCAGTAGGAGGTAAGGAGTGGATACTGTCCTGGTTCCAGCTGGGACAGAGTTAATTCCACTCCCAGCAGCCGGTGCAGTGCTGTGTCTTGGATTTAGTGTGAGAACAACCTGGTGGCTCACTGATGTCTGAGGTGTTGCTAAGCAGCGTTTAGACCAAGTCCAGGATTTTTCAGCTTCTCATGCCCTGCCAGCAAGAAGCTGGGGAGGGACACAGCCAGGACAGCTGACCCAAACAAACATTTCACACCAGATGATGTCATGCCCAGTATATAAACTGGAGGCAGCTGGCTAGGGGGAGGATTGCTGCTCGGGGGCAGCCTGAGCATCGGGTAGCGGGGGGTGAGCGACTGCACTGGGCATCACTTGTCTTTTCTTGGGTTTCATTTCCCTCCCTCTTTGTTATCTTCCTTTTCATTACAATTATGACTACTATAGTATTTCTTTTTTATTTCCGTTATTAAACTGCTGTTATCTCAACCCACGAGTTTCACTTGTCCCCGACTCTCCTCCCCATCCCACCAGGGAGGAGCGAGCAAGCGGGTCTGCGGCGCTCCGTTCCCAGCTGGGGCTAAACCACAAGAGCCTGGGGTGCCAACGCCCATGCCCACCCTGGGGTCTGCCCTCCCGGGCCTGGGCAGAGCCCCCTTACCTGTCATGCTCCTTGTCCACGAGGTGGTACCGTGCTCTGAAGGCCACCAGCCGGGCATAGTATGCAGGGGCTGGGATGGAGACGGAGCGGGTGCAGCGCACGTAGGTGTGGCACAGCTGGTACGTCAGGATCTGCAGCTCATCTGCTGTGAACCTGTTGTCATCCCAGAGCACGTAGTAGTGGGACGGTCGGCTCGTACCCTGCCAAGGAGAGGAGCAGCCTCAGGTGCTGCCTGCACCCAGCCACAGCATCCTCATCACCCCACCCCAGGCACAGCGGCCCAGCAGACAGCCTGGGCAGGAGGCGCCCACCCTTCTCTAATTTAGCAGGGTCTAGAGCACAAGTCCTGTGAGGAGTGGCTGAGGAATCTGGGGGTGCTGAGCCTGGAGCAAAGGAGGCTCAGAGGAGGCCTTCTGGCTCTGACAGCTCCCTGCCAGGAGCTTGGAGCCAAGTGGGGGTCAGGCTCTTGTCCAAGGAACAAGTGGCAGGACAAGAGGAAACAGCCCCACGTTGTGCCAGGGGAGGTTTAGGTTGGATATTAGGAAAAATGTCTTCCTTGAAAGGGTAGTCCAGGGCTGTGCCAGGCTGCCCAGGGCTGCAGTGGAGTCCCCATTCCTGGAGGGGTTACCAAGCCATGGAGATGTGGTGTGAGTGACACAGGTCAGTGGGGACCTGGCCATGCTGGGGGATGGTTGGACTGGCCACAGCCACCCCAGCTGCCAGCACACCCAGCCCAGGGTACCGTGCTCCCCACCAGCCCTGGCCACCCCCGGCCTCGCCACGGGACAGGGACCCAGAACAGCTGCCCACACTGGAGAAAGGAGCGTGGGTTTCTCAGCAGGGTTTCTGACTAACCCTGGCTGCCTGCAGAGGGGCAGCTGCAAAGCAGCCCTGGGGATGGCTGGAGCTCCCCCACCCACGGCCAGACAGCAGGTCCCTGCTGAGGACCGGGCGCCCCGCGAGCCCGGCACGCTCAGACACCAGCTGGCAAGCTGTGGAATTGGGCGCTCTGAAGGAAGAGAATCTCACAGGAGAGATCCTTGGCTGCAGGAGGGGAGTGGAGGATGTGCCACGTAACGCAACAGCAGCAGCACTGTCCTGGCACCTGCCTCCCCACACAA